AAGGTTTAAGTATTGATTCTGTATACCTTACACAAACTGTCAAGCGGTTACATCACGGCGCTGCATTCTGGGTCCCACAACCACTGTCTGTCTTTGAAGTTCTGCATTGGAATGGAGCTAAACGAAATGAAAAAGCCAAAATCAAAAAGATACATATCAGGTTACATCATTTATCTGTCTCCTCCTGGGTTAAGATATTATCATAACGCACATTCCTCCCAAATCCTGGTTAATGCAAAGCAGAAAGCAGGTCTGCATCTGCAGGATCTCTGGCTTGAGTCTTTCTTAAATCATATTCAGAGGCAGTTTCTTATGTAACATTGTGTACGCTGATTGGCATCTCAATTAAGTCATCCTCGGTACTTCTACAGGTTTGATATCGCTTAGTAATAATTGAGTTTGACCCCCACAGGCTCTGTTTAGCACCCAAAATCTACCGCCAGCTGGCACAACTGTACCTTTACAAAAAAAAGGGGGGCAGAAAGAGGGCACTTATGTAAGCAGAATGACTAGAACAGCAGCCATTATAGATGATAACAGCTCTGATGGGCCAGGTAATAATCTCTTTGACGATATTATTACAAGCCCTCAGGTATGCAAGTTAAAAAAAAGAGAGATCAGTCAGTCATTATGCATGACTGAATTTCATGAAATTTACATGCAGTACACTAAAAAAAGCAATTGTTGGCTTTCCTTTTTCCCCTAAATTTATTCATAGGATTTAACATAAACGACAAATATCGGACATTTTGGTATATTATTGTACATTTTGACAGAGAGAGAAGTAAACGATGATCCAAAATGATTTTTGACCCCCAAATATGTATATGTATATATATATATAAGATTATTCAAATTAATAAAGAACTAAAAATCCATTTAATAACAACAGCTACAACAAGAAGATGCCAACTAGAACAATTATTAAACCCCAAACTAAAAGCCTGGTCACATGAGCTGTCACACTGTAGCAAAGAATGTAAAAATTACCGATTATCCAGTATGGATGAGTATACATTTCCACAAATTCAAGCGAGTCCCAAATTGTTTTTTGAAAACCCCTTTAAAACGAGTCTAATTCTTTCCAGTTTTATAAAGTGACTTTATATTCTATACTTATTTCTATTAAGTGACAAGAATTTTGTCTATGCAAAGTCCGACCGTACTGTCCTAATTAAATAATAAAAAATCCCAGCATGATCATGTTTTATTTAGATAAAATAAGCGTAATCTAGAGGCCTTTGCCTTCCATATACATAAGCCACTTCTGATACCAAATGATCAACTAGAAGTCGAGTTATTATTCGTTGTTCCTAAAACTTGGACTTTTGTCTGGTATATAATTCCAAAAGGAAATCTGACCAATATGCTTTTGAAAAAAACAAACAAAGCAGCTAATTCTTTCAACATGCCATGAGTCATTTAAAAAGTTTTTTTTTTTTTGGTTCAATGTTAAAGCAATTCCATTATGCAACTTCATGAAACTTGCTCTCTTTTTTATCATCTGCTGATGTATTTAGAGTTGCTAAAAAAAAAGAAAAGAAAAGCTGAACAGCATGTACTTAAAAAAACAAAAAAACACTTTCTTCTCAAAAAAGATTTATTACATGCCTTGGTTATGCAAGTGTTTTTTGTGTTTTAATACGTTCGCTCTGTCATTACTGCTCTTCCAGGCCCCTTTGGCATCACACCTGGTGACTGACCCACATATGTGCATCTGGCCTTGTAAAACACATCACGTCAGCAAATATTATGTAATACTCTTTTTAGTTTTGAACATATGCACCTGTACACATATCTCTATGAACATGTCTTAACCTGCCAGCTCACTTTGTACAATGTGTTTGACTTAAATCTGACATGCTTACAACACAAAATCTTTTCATGAGAGCTGATAAGGAAAACCATTAAGCAAACTGTAAAACTAACGAAAGTTTTTTTGAGATTTGAGCTACTTAATATGCACAGTTTCACAGATTGTTTTTGTTTATTATTTAATTATTTTAGTAGGTTACAATGAGATTTTAAAGTTTTACCGTTATTTTGCTCATTCACAAATTAGATTGGCAGGCAGCAGAACGGTTTATTTTTAGGCTACATGCTGTAGAGACAAAATTTTAGGCAAAGTTAGGCTAAATTTAGCTGCTTATGATGACATTTGTTTATGATGTAGTCCTGAATGAAAGTTTGTAAATATATAAATTGTTTTATAAAATGCGGATATAATATTAAATTGTAAATATTATTCTGCAACATAATTCTTTATTGTTTTAGTACAATTAATTCAGTATTGATGATGTTGCTCATAATAATTATAATAATAATAATAAGACAATAAATATTGCAATCTGATATAAAACATATACTGTATGTTGGTTGCTTTTATTTTTAATTGATTCATATTTTTTAAGCTAGCATTATTTACATTTATCCAAAATGACTATGGAGACAAATTAATTTATTGTTATAATTAAAATTAATTTTATGGAACAACAATTTTAATAATAATAATAATAATAATAATAATAATAATAATAATAATAATAATAATAATAATAATAATATTAATAATAATATAATAATAATAATAATAATTATTATTATTATTATTATTATTAATCAAATAATAATAATAATAATAATAATAATAATAATAATAATAATAATAATAATAATAATGCATTTAATATGAAATTTATTTTTAAATATGTAATTAAATAAAAACATTTAGGTGAGGCAAAGCTTTAATTTACTTTTATTATTAAGAAGTTAAAATTATTAATAATACCTTCACATTTCTATAGTTTGTTAGAATAATATAACAGAATTACTATTTTTACTGTACGTCAAGTGTTTGGCTCCTTATTTATCATCTTAAAATAAGTATTTCATGCTGTTTTTAACTACCTGTATATTAGTTTTTTATATATATTTAATTCAAGCTTAAACTCAGCTAGTTTAGTTTAAAGTCCTCAGTTTTGACTCAGGTTTACATCTCCTCACCCTGTCAGCGCTGTAAGCGCTCAGCCCACCACAGCTTGACCCTTAACTTGATTTTGCGTCACATGAGGATTTTTTTGCGTGCATGTGTTTGGGGTGGGACACTGACCTCTTGTTCGTTCTGCTCGTTCTGGTTGACCTTGGAGTGGCAGCAAACACTCTGTTCTGAGACTTTTTGTATGTGTCTGTGAGTGTGTGTGTGATTGGTCTGACGTAAGATTGTCCATGTGCAAGCGCAGGGTGGATGTAGCAGGATGAGCCAGCCGGAGATTGTCTCCAAAAGGCCAAACATCCTTCCTCTTCCCTCTTATGACAGCACTGCAGGATTTCCTTCTCACCTCTGCGGGACGATGCTTTCTGCCATGTCCTCTGGTAAATTAAGCAGGAGTCTGATTCTAGATCGGTTTGAAAGTACAGAGACTACCTTAAGTGGTGTGGAAGAACAGGATATTTCACTTTTCTTTCCTTCATCCTCTCATTTTTCAGTCAAGGGGCTGATAATGGTGCTCAGCTTCCACTTTTGTAACTAGTTCTGTTGCGTTCTGGTGCAAATCTGTATTTGACAAATATGTTTTATCAGCTATAGCCTGTTTTCTTCTAAAATTAGCTTAAACCTTAAACTTTGATCAAATATTAAACCTAAACATTTAATTTTGAAACCTTTTATTTAAGAAAACAATTCTGGATTTCCTTCCCAAGTAAATGTGTCTTTCATTTGATGATCTCATATAAAATGCAATGACAAGTAAAGGATTTTGCATTTCAAATAAAACGTAGTGAAGCATGATATACAGAATCAAGTCTTGTTATAATAGAAGATGCCACATGCACGTATAATATATCACCATAATCAAGCACAGATAAAAAAGTAGCTTCTACAAGTTTCTTTTTAGCATTAAAAGTCAAATATTTTAGATTTATTTCTAAAATAAAACCCAAGTTTCAGTTTCCTGATCAGGGGTGCGTTTCACTCGCAGCTGAACTCTCATGATACGATGCATCGTTTGGGAAAAGAATGATTTAGTGAGAAATGTTTTCCCAAAACGCATAGTTTCTCTGTCGCAGATCCATCGTTTGAATCATGTTAGTTATAACGTAAAACGCCCATAATGACGCTCTAAACTGGGTGGAGTAACATCTTCTTTAGAGAAGAACCCCATAATTTCTTTGTGCAAATGTTATTTTTTTACACAAACATGCATTCAATATAAAATCCAATAATAGATTTGATAAAAACATGCACTCGCTTTTATATTAATTGAAATATATGGCACATATAGGGCCTATGTTTGCTTTACAAATATTATTGAGAATTACATATCATATGAATATGAAATCACTTACAAAAGCTTACAATTACTATAAAGTTGGATATTGTTTATTTATTTATTTATTTTTTAAAAGTCTACTTTTACAATTGGACACTTTAACACTACAATTTAACACAAAATCCACTTTTAAAAAATAGGTCACCTATAGCTTTCGCCATAAGGCTGTGTTCAAAATGACCTCAATGTTTTCAAAGTGCACTGCGAAGGAAGCACACTTGTAAACATGAAGACCGCTATAACTGAACTGTAAAAATAGTTAGAAAGGACAACTAAGAGAGATGACCTTAATGCTTTTTTCTTTTCATAATTCCAACTTTGAATATTTTAAATGAATAGGGCATAGGGGAGTTAAGTGGGAATAGAACACAGCCAGGAACTATGTTTCGAACTACAGCTCCAGAGGTATACTGTAGTTGCGAGTGCCCAAGTTTGCGACACAGTTTGCGCGAATGTTCGTTGGAGCGGCGGATTTGGAAAAATGGCAAATCAACAAACTATGTTTGTAACAACGGAACTTGTGACCTTAGTTGGCTAATGATGGTTTTGGGAAACGCACCCCTGATTAGCAATGTGCACATATAAAAAAAGCTTATCACCAATCCAGAGACCAATACTTATAAGAAATTACTCTTTTGATTTTTTTTTCCCCTTAAAAATTCAGTCAACTGATCAGATTTTAAATGTTTTAATACATCACAGATCATATGTGTGGCCCAACATTTGGTTTGTTTATACTGTCATGATTAACTAACGCATTACATGTCTATGAATTGTTTGGTTCAACCTTCTTAATGATATTTATACTAATATCATCATAGAATGTGATAATGTATTAATATTATACACATCCTAACATTTCTCGCATCACTGTATTACATTGATATAAAACACCGGTTACCCTTTATTGTCAGAAACGAATAGGAAAAGTGAGCAATAATAAGTAACGGATTAAAGTGGAAAAGCCATATTTTAGGTTTGCTCTGCTGGACAGGATTCTAAGTCGGGTAGTTTCGCTTCTCTGTGGGGGTCCGTGGCCCGCAGGCATGCTGCTGCTGATTTGGCTTCCTGGGAGGTCTGAGATGCCTGCCTTCACTGCCTCATGTACTGGATGGTCACGGGTGGATGGAGGCTTTACTCACTGCGGATTGAAGCACATGAGGCTAATGTGAGCTAATGGAAGGAAGCAAGACGGACGTTGTGTTTTTAGGTTGTGTGTGATACTCAAATAGGCAGAGTCAAGTTTAAGTGGTTTATAATAGCTGAAAGAAGCCATTATTGTATATTTTTAAATCAGATGTATAATTATGACATACTTAAATCCACAGTGACTTTGCATACAAGGTATAAGCTAGCGTAGCCCTTCTGGTTGCTTGTGCACCACGAAAGCAGCAATCAAACGTTAGTATGAAAGGTGGAAACGCTAACAAGTATAGTATAAATCCAGCCTCTTTGATAAGTCGCTGATAAACATTTTGTAGCCTGAAACAAGGTTTTCTTGCTAAACTTTTTACCAGCACTGCTCTTTGTGCATATCTCTAAGATAATTAGAGGACATAGGCACCAAAGAAGTTCCTGTTATCTGACCTCCATTATGCTCACCTTCCTCAATTCTCACTCCCGTCTGGGTCACGGCACCAGTTTAAGCCCAATGGTTCTACTTGCACCCCAAAATATGTCTTGAGAGATGAGCATCAATGTAGCTCCTATTAGCTAGCTTCCATTCTAATAAAAAAATCCCAAACATAAGCTGGTTCTGCTTCTAAGCTTCTACTTGCAATTTAAGGACCAAAAAAGTGACGTTTACTTGCACCCTCCAAATCTAACTCTCATCCGGGTCATGGCACCAATTTAAGCCCTGTAGTTCTACTTGCACTCTTAGAGGAAAGATTTGTATATATGACTTCAGTTTGGGAGATGAGCATCAATGGAGTTTTATTAGCTAGCCTCCATTATAATCACCCCCTGCTAATAAGGATGCTAAATACAGCAGCTTCTACTTGCAGTTTGAGGCCAATGTAGTGACATTTACTTGCACCCTTCAAATCTTACTCCCATCTGGGTCATGTCACCAATTTTAGCCCAATGGCTCTACTTGCGCTCCTGGAAGAGTGATATGAATATATGTCTACAGGATGAGAAGTGAGCATCAATGAAGCTTTTATTAGCTAGCCTCCATTCTAATTACAACATTGAACATCCCGAATAGGAGCTGGTTCTGCTAACAAGTATGCTAAAGACGGCAGCTCCTACTTGCAATTTGAGGTCAACAGAGGGACATTCACTTGCACCCTCCAAATCTAAGTCCCATCTGGGTCATAACCCCAATGTAACCCCAGTGGTTCTTCTTGAACCCCCCTGGAAGGGGTTCAACTCTGCATTTTAGGAATGGGAGGTTGACATTAGAGAAGCTCCTATTTGCTAGCTTCCAGTATGCTCAGCCCCTTGAAACTCACTCCCATCCGGGTCACGGCACCGATACAACTCCTTTAGTTCTGCTTGCACCACTCTTAAGTGTGATCTAAATTGATGTCTTATACGTGTGATGCAGGCTCATTAACAAGCATGCTGAAAACTTTATCAACTAATTTCAACCACTAATGTTGGTTGAACCTTTACTGGCACAGATCTGCCAATCAGGCTTCTCTTTAGGGTCTTTTCAGTTAGATAGTTATTAAAAAAAAGATTGCATGGGCTACTTTGGATAAAATCTGATAAAAATGGCTGCCAAACAATTGCAAAACCCTAAACATGTTCAGCATCACTGTCAAAATATGCTGGCTTGAGTTCTTTATCCATATGAAAAGTCCTAAATTTAGTCCTGCGTGCCTGATCTTTCCGGCCAAAAGAAAGGTGCTAAACCCCGAACAAACGGAGGTATATCTGCGACCCTTCAGGCTAGTGGAGTTCCGTTTTCTCTGGGTGGCCATTGTCAGAGATCAGTTTACACACACACACACACAGAGACAGTCTCTCATGCTTGCAGGGAGGAAAATGTCAGTTTCACCTCATTGTTATTTTAAGCTTGTTCAATAGTTTTCAGTAGTTTTGACAAGAATTAAAGGTGAAGAGCGTTTCTTGTTTCAAATTCCAAGTAGTTGGTGAATTTTTTGGTACTTACGTAAGGCCCTCAGTGACTTAGCTGATTTCAACCTAAGCTTATTAAAGCTTCCACCCCCCCTTACATTCATCAGTTGAAAGTGTGGGTTGACTTTAATTTGACTTCACGCTAATGACTTGTATGAATGTCTGCAAGATAAGCTTTAGTGCATTTATATATTTTTTATATTTCAGTTGTAACCCCTGTGGGTCTGCTAACCCCACACTGAAAAGGATTTGAATAAGCTTTTCTATAAGACTAAAGCCCAATCCCAGTTATACCCCTTAGCCATTCCACTTACACCTACCCTTCATTTTGCACGTTCAAGGGGAAGGGGTGTCCCAATTCTCTTTAGTGTGAAGGTGTAGGGCTAAGGACAAGGGTTAGATAGCCCTTGAAACAGAGATATTTATGGACCACACTCGAAACCAAGGGGTACGAAAATAGAATTGAGATTGGGCCTAAAGCAGGGGTCTCAAACTCAATTTACCTGGGGGCCGCAGCAGGCAAAGTCTGGGTGAGGCTGGGCCGCATAAGGGATTTCACAAAAAAAAGTCCTCAAATGTCATTAATAACAGTTTTAATTATTTCTTCTGAACGTGAAGTGTCCTGAACATTAATAGAACATTGAGTGAAGATTATGAACAGTTCTTCTGAACATGGCATCTTTTGCCTACTTCTTGCTGCCAGAGACTTGACAGCGCTTCTTCTCACAAATCTGAACCACATTTGGCTTTAAAGCGGAAGCAGTTGACACCCTCAGTATGGCTTGAAGATGATCATCATTAAGTCTAGACCTGTACTTTGACTTATTGAAGTCCTAGGGAAAAAAGTGGGGGAACTCACTCAAAACTTCCATTCCCTCACCTAAAAAAAAGTCGTATATATGTATAAATAAAACACCCCCACCCCACTCCAGTCACATCAGTCTGTACCAGTCTGTATCTACCTATAATATATATAAGATGCAGGGCAGGCACGTGCACACATAGGGCTCAACCTGTGCAGAGCACATGCCCTTTTTAGTTTTGCATAGAAAGTGCCCTTCCAAAATGATCAAAAGTGCCCCAGCGACGCGACACACCCTCGGTCCCGCCCTTCAGTAGGCGCGCGACAACACCACTCTTGAGTACGCGTGCAACAACACAGCTGATCAGAACGCGCGCGACAACGCCCCTCCACACTTCCCGCCCGTCACAGCGTCTAACAAAGGGGCGGGGTGCGTGGTGACGTCACCGGCATCCTCGCCCCTTTGTTTACACGGCGGGCGGGGAATGCCAGTGACCGCTGTGTACGGATAGAATCAGCGGAGCGGGGAGCGCTCTCTCCCCCCGCTCCGCTGATTCTGTCAGTGTACAGCGGTCGGCGCGGGCCACAAAATATTGCACTGAGGGCCGCAAATGGCCTGCGGGCCGCGAGTTTGAGACCCCTGGCCTAAAGAGTGCATGATCTGGGTTTAGTTGTATTAGATGAGGGAAGGTTACTCTCCAAACAGCTGTCTTACTTTGACCACCATAAACCTCACCCCCATTCTTGTGACCACAGCAATATAACCAGGTCTACTAACAAGCAGTGAGTTTTACTTGAGTAAATCCTACTATTTAGTCTCCATTACACCCAGAAGTGACTCATGACACTATGACACACATGCATTATTTCTTTATTTAAAATACCTGAATGAGTCTCGCAATTCCAAAGAGCTGAAATTAGATCCACGTTACGTAAAATCTAATTAGCCTCTAGCCTTTATTACTTTCGTGCATTTCAGGGTCTCCACTTTTGAACTACTGTTCATTTCATTCAAGACTTTCCTGGCCTGACCCACTTTACGAATAGCTCCAAACAAACTTTGCTCTCCCTACACACACACTCTGGATTCAGATGTTAGTTTGACCTCGAGGATGAGCCAAGTTGCTCTGATCTTTTTTGATGCACTTCTATGCTGTGACTTCTACTGTAAACTCATGCTGACACCGAAACCTCATTGTCAGAGCTTCTGCACTTTTGAACCAAATGCGCCTTGTGTAATAAGTGGGTCGGGGCTTTAAAGGTATTGTTTTAGGAGCTAACAGCTGCTGTGTCCTCTGATATGTGTGTGTTTGTGTGTGTGCGCTGCCTAGGCATTTTGGCTATTACAATTTTTTAATCACATTTGGAAATGTTCTTGTGGTATCTCTAAATTGATCCTCTATTTTTAAAATTGGGGGCATACACATTCATTTGCTCTCTCTGAGGAGTTTTGTTCTCAATTATAGATTGGTCACTCTCTTTTGCAGTATATCTAAATCTAGACAACCAAATCTGGGTTTTTCCCTGAAAAATGGGAACAGCTGTATTCCCAAACACCATAGTGCTCCCTGACCTCATTTCTTTTGCTACGTATATGTATATTTCATGGGTAACTTTAAAAAAATACCATGTGTGTATGTATACATACTCACTAAATGACGCAATAAAAGCTATTAGTCATGTGACACAGCGATTTTATCAACGCATTCAGACAAGAGCTTTTCTCAGGCGTTCTGGTGTTTTCCAGTTAAGTTTCTCTGTCTGGCCATTGCTGGATTGTGTAACTGATGACTGTTAAAGTGCATGCTCTCGATGCAGCTCTGACTTACCAAATCCACATCTGACCTCCGGGGCTTTTCAGTGTTTTAGACTGGTACAGGCAATTTTTCACGAAGAGCGGTCTGCGATTTAAGCCACCTGAACAAACTGGAGGCATTCAATCAGTGCTTGAGTGCTTGTGTGTGAATTTGTGGCCGTGAGATGTTTATCTTTGTACAGAGAGCGTACATGGTTGTTGTATTAGTCTACGTCTGCCTAGAGTGGATTCTTACCGACAATGCTCATCATTAAGTGCAGTTCTCTCGCTAGCGATTGCCACCCATGAAGAGAAACCCAGTTTGGAAGGAACGGGCCTCACTGTCCTCCTCAAACAAACACACAATCACAGAGAGTTCAGACCGTCTGGGAGACTCTCTGACACACATATCAGTCATAGTCCTTCATGAGCTTGCATGTGTCACGGTTTTCAGCTGCTGGCTTTGTACAAAACTTTTGTACATTTTTTCATGCTTAATCAAAGCACGGAGAATGATTTTTGTGATTTAAATCACTAAACAATTGTATCGTTCATAATTTATCACTGTGGTTAGAACTTTCTGTACTGCTTACAATAACAATGATTGAGGGATCTTCTGGGAAGGCTTTTGTTTTCCAGCCACGTAATGTTCAATAGCATGTCATCTGTCAATGTAAGCCCTAAATTCTGTTTTCATTTAGAACTCTTAGACTTTCCAAGTGTGTTTGTTGTTGTTGTTCTTATGTGGAGCAAGTGGAACTCAAATGTGCTGCTTGAGTTGAATATACCAATTGCTCACTGCTGCTCCTCAGTGACTAAGGAATCAAACCTCAGCATTTTAATTCACAGCACAGATTTTTGATTGCTAGGTTACCATCACTCATTATTTCTGGGTTTGTTAGATCTGCTTTATTGATGCTTGTTAAGACAAGTGCATCTACAGCCTTTGCTTTACTTTTTTTTTACTTGCAGATTGTCTGTAGGGACATTAACAAAATTCACAATCACTACCATCTTCAAAGATGCTTAAATCCCTGGGACTGAATATATAAAATTGAATTTGCTGTTTAGAAGTTTTAGGACAGTACATATTATGTTTTTGAACTTTACATTCAGCATAGTATCTTGAGAAAATAATTTGTGCACCTAAACCTCACTCCCCTTGTTAATGTGCCACCTCCCATTGCAGGAAATGAGCCCCGCTCAGAATGACTCATGTACAAACTGGAGGATTACTGTTTGTCCTGTGACCCGGATTGGTGTGTGGTTTAGTGGGTGAGTGTATAGAGGCCAGCCTGTAGGTGTACCATGATTAAGCCATTCTTTTGGTTCAGGGGACACGATAGAGACTTATGCTAGAAGCTGTGGTTCTTTAGGGTGTTTTCACACCTGACTTATTTAGTTCAGCTGAATCGCACCAGAGTTCAAGTCCCCTCCTGGTGTTGTTCATTTGGGCAGGCGTGAATGTAACAATCGCACTCGAGTATGCACCAAAAGCGGACCAAAAAAGAGGTGGCCTTGCACACTTTCAAAAAAAAAACCTGGATCGGTTCGATTGTGGTAAGAACATGATCCTAACTAAAACAGCAAAAAGTACTGTGCCTTTTCAGACTAATCCAGCTGCAGTAGCCCGATGCACTGTCAACAATTTTAAACAGAGAAAGAGAGAGAGAGAAACATTACCTGATGGATCTTTGAAAATATTTCCGGGAGATGACCATGTCGCAGTTTAGCTAAATTAATTAACACCTCCTCCTGAAGTGACTTGCGATGTTCCTTTGCCATTGGCAATGCATTAAAAAATTGTTTTCCAGCCGATACATTCTCGAAATGTATAGTTTGTCTAAAGTGATGTATACAAACTATATAGTATACTATGACCTGGCATACAATCAGCCAGCGCAGTCGTCCCTCCATAGTAAAAAGCCACATTTTGTGTCTGCCGGTTTGTTTACTTGCGGAAGTTCCATTGGCATTTTCCTGCACATTTATTCTGACCAATCGAAAAGCAGTTTAGGAAATTTGTTTAATAACATCTGGCCAATGAGTGATGTGGATTTTGTCACATGACTGCCTGTTGGTTCTTTTCATCTACTTCGAACCAAAGCTATCAGTGTGGTGTGAAAAGGACCCAAAAACGGCAGAAAAATGCTACAATGTATCATTTGTTGCCCTTGGTCTGGACCAAATAAACTGAATCACAGATGTGAAAGCACCTTTAGTGTCCTAGAGAACCCATCTCAGTGCTGAAAATGGCGGTTTGACTGAGATGAGTAAAACCAGATGGTTTGCATTGGCCGATGTGAGTAATATTTGAGGGGAGGGTTTACATTGGTGCCGTGACCCAGAAGGTAGTGGTATTTAAGGAGGTTAGTATAATAGATGCTAGTTAGTAGAATCTTTGTGAATAAAGCTCATTCTTCTGATGTTAGTAATAGGGTTGGCTCTCATTAGAATGTTATTAATTCCAATTTCAATTGTTGATTTTGGTTCTTATTGAGTTGCAGTTTTAATTTAATGTGGAAAAAGTAATTTAGGCCTTACTGAAACTGGTATTTAGATGCGTTTTTTTAATTTACAAGACAAAATACGTATTAAAAGTTCCAGATCAGTTAAACGTGTTTTATGAATAGGCTAAAATTGAATTAAATTATAGTTTATTGACCGAAAGCATTATGCAAGGGATCGGGAATTGATTGCGGGTGAAAAAACAATCATCCAACACATGCAACATCATCCTCCAATGTTTTAGAGGTTAAATTTGTGCTACTTTGAATAGAATAAATTGATTAAAAGCACATTAAAGACACATAAAAAAAAACATTCACAAAGCTGACTTCATTTCCAAAAAGTTGCTTTGCTTTTCCTCACAAATTTGTGCTAGGTGGTATTTTGAGATTTTCCCACTCTATAAACGGTTATCCAGAAAGTTCATTTCAGGGCACTGACAATGCTGCCGTTAGAGATATGCAAAGATATTCAACTTCTGACCTAATTTCCTTGCCTTTTGAACAGGGCCTTAATGTGCCCGTCTCCCATGCCCTAGATACTACTTTGTTTCCCATTCACAGAGGTGTGAGTAGAAACATAGGGTTTCAATTAACAATGCCCAGATAACCACCTACATACCAAACCTAGTTAGTTTTACTGCAGTAAAGCTATTCATCACTTGGCCTTATCTAGTTTGCTTGCCTGAGACATTGGTATTTCACGTCCAATTGTGCCAGAAACATGAGCTTTTCCACACTTGCATAGATGAATGTTTGGAAAGCAGACAGCAGGTGGAAGACCAGGAACACATTTTTCACATGACTCCAAATGCAGTCTCAGGTTTGCCCCGTTCAGCCTGAAGACTTCAGCTCTCTGGCTGCCTAGACAGACGGTGTCTTTCACATGGCCATTCACTCGCATTATTCTCGCTGTCTCCATCTCAGTAACACATATACATGTTTGCCGTCTCACACACACACACACACACACACACAGATACTTGCTATTCATTTCGTTCAGCTGATACCTGAGCAGTTGCGAGCTCCTGCAGTTCGGCTGTCCTGAAATCAACCTTCTACTTCCTCCTACTTGTTCCACTCAAGGGAATTTTCCCAGCCTGACTCCGGCGGGCCGGCAGATGTAAGACGGGGGTTGGTAAAGAAGTGCAGAAACAGACACCACGGCCTGTCACAAACTGAGATAAAGCCTCACCTGCTTGCCCTGGCTTGTGCCTTTCTCTGGTCTCTGGGTGTGGTGGGTGTGACATACCTGACATTCCAGTGGGCCTGTAAAAAAACAATTGAGGCTAAGATGGAATGGGGGGTTGTTTCTGCTCGGTGTTGTCTAGTGATTCCCGGATGGATGTTTGGATGGTTGACTCACTGCTGGTGAATGACAGGAGACTCTTAAGGGCTTTTAGCGCTATCCTTAACCCTAGGTAAAAGGGTAAAACCTTGGGGTTAAGTAATGTTTAACACTCCAGATCATGGTTATGATCCGTTTTGTTGCACTAGCCACTGGATTGCTAAGGTTTAAAGTGGAAAACAATGCAATGAGAAAATGTTATGGGCAAATGTTTTGCTGTATTTAGCTTATTTACAATAAGGTTTCAATAGTTAATGTAATCACTAACATGAACTAATAATGAATAATACTTGTGCAGAATTTATTAATCATAGTTCAGCATTTACTAATGCAACAGTAACATCCTAATTCATGCTTTTTAACATTAATAAACCTTGAGTTAACATGAACTAACAATGAACAACTCTATTTTCATTGCCTAACATGAATAACTGCTATAATAAATGTGTTGCTCGTTGATTGTTCATATTGGTAAATCCATTAACTAACATTTACTAATACAACCTGATTATAAAGTGTTACCCAGTTATTAGCATCTATTTGACATATTATTTCATATTAACTTTAAAAATGTCCTGACACAGCATATGTGCATTGTGACATTAGTTTTTACCTTGAATTTATTTCATTATTTTTTTTTTATATTTAGTTTTGTTTTTAGGTTATTTGCAGTTTTAGACATTGTGTGTTGCAATTGATCATGTTTCTAATGTGTGTACAGTATTTATAGGTTTTTATTTTAGTTTTAGTTGTTTTAATGTTCTTAAAATGAATGAAAATGAATGATATACTTATGAATCTAATACATAATGATTTTATGTAACCATACTTTTTATTGTAATCACCTCATGTAATCAAACTTACTTGCTCCCAGGGCCGTTTATATTGAAGTTGATATTTAACCGCACTGTTGGTGTTTCGTAACACCTCAGTAAAGCAGGCTGGTGGAATAGCGCTGTTTACTTATGTTTTGTTGCTAAACTAAAAACAAATTTACATTGTCGATGATGATAAAAAACCTTATGAAACTGAAAATAGTCACATCAATCTTTCACTGTAAGATTTCAGTGGCACAATCTACAACAGACAACAACACAATCTACATCAGCTTTGCGTGTTTCGTAACATCTCATTTTACAATTTGCTCAACCCTTAACATGGAGGACCAGGACATTCATACATACATACATACATGCATACATACATACATACATACATACATACATGCATACATACATACATACATACATTCACACTCTACTACCAATGTATCTTACCCAATTCACTTACAGCACATGTCTTTGGACTGTGGGGGAAACCCAGAGGAAACCCACGCAAACACGGGGTGAACATGCAAACTCCACACTGAAATGCCAACTGACCCTGCCGGGGCTCAAACCAGCGACCTTCTTGCTGTGAGGCGGCAGCGCTACCCACTGCACCACCAGTATAAAATCATAATAAACATAAATCCTAAAGCATGTGGATTAAGACTAATGATAAAACCAATATAAATGAAGGGTTTGTTGCTTTAATAAAACATAATGATCATTAAATATCTTAATTATAACATTTTTGGATTTGTTATATCAAATTTTCATGTTGCCTGTCTGCAATGTTGTCCGATGAGGTCAACTTTTACAGTATAAATTCCTATCTTTTGATTTATACTTTATAAATTACACATATACTAATTTAGCAGAGAAAATCTCAATTATTGTATGGTGTGAATCCATTTATCATGGAATCTATGGAAATTCTTCAGTTTTTTGATCGTTTCCTGCGGAGATTTGTATTTGTGATCATTTAGAGGTGTAGTAATAGCAACAATTTTAATTGGTAACACTTTATTTTGATGGTCTGTTTGAGTATTAGTAGACTGTCTGCCTAATATCTGTTGATACTGCTCCTTTTACAGACATTTAACTGACTATAAGACACTTTGCAAGTAATTCAACTTACCCTAACTCCAACCTAACAGTCTACTTATAATTAATGAGAATTAGTTGGCATGTAGATGCAATGTAACTTGAATTTAACAAACGGACCATCAAGATAAAGCGTGACCTTTTGTTTTGTTAAATATGACTCTCCCGTTTCAATTCACACAGTCTGTGCCACATTTTGCAACAGCTTTATAATATTTCTCCAGCACATGCTTTCTGATCTCTGGGCCTGAACAAGCCCTGTCATGACTGATCCAGACTGGCCTTTGACGCAAGTCGGACCATGAACTGTGTGTGTGTGGGACGGCCCGAAGCTCATAGTTCATTAAACCTAAACACAAAGCCAATTACAGCCCAGCCAGGCTCAGTCTCAGCAGGACACTGAGCTTTGAATGAAGCCCTTCACTGGCTCTAATGAGGGGAAAACCCTGAATGTGACCCTGAGTTCCAGATTGTATCAGTCCCGTATAAGCGAGGCTTGGGGACGGTGATTTTTTACCTGATATTGGGTCAAATATGGACAATCATCTGTGTTTGTGCATTGTAACCCTAAATTGTGTTAAAACAAGCATTTAAAATGTTTTGAAGTATTAAAATTTCAAAGGAACATCCTGGTTGTTTGGAACCTGGTGGAGTTTGGCAAAGCTCTTTGCGAATGCAAAGAATGCTTGCATGTGTTTGCATACCTGGAAGTGATTATAGCAGTTTAAAACACTGTGTGGTGTTAGCTGCATTTGTTTTAAGTCTTATGCAATGTTTTTGAAGATGGAAACGGAAGATGGGCCAAATATTTCACACATAAAAAATAGAAGTCTTGCAGTTGCAGGCATACTAATCGAATGGTCTGCCAAGTATTAAAGGAATGGTTCCACTGGAAATGTAAATCATGTTATTACACAATATGTGTGTCTGTTACTTGCATCTCAATAATCATTGCTGTTAATTTTTTAGAATCACCACAAACACCCAATGTTAAATGGATAATGACCAAATCCTACTGATACGGCAGAGTCTGAAGCCACCGTTGTTATGTTTTTGTCTTTGTCATTCCATACCTGTACATAATAGGTCCGTGAGCTTTTGGTGTCCCATTGCATTACCATAAAAAACCTTTTAATAATATCCTTTTGAAATTAACAGAAAAGTTGATTACACAAAAAAACATTAATAATAATACATATTTTCATTCAGAAATATAAAGATTTCTTTTTATTTTATGATTTTAAAGTAACATAAAATAAATTGAAATCTTAAAAATTGTTTCATGAACTTAAATATAATTGAAATTCAGCGTTTCATTTAAAAAGATTGCTGATAAATTTGATATTACTATTAAAATTACTACTAAACATTTGAAATACTGTAATATTATTGTTTGTATTTGTTGTTTTTTAATTATTGTTTATTTAATGTTTTTTTTTTTACTTTTTATTATACTAACAAAATCAAGTGTAAGTTAATATAGATATTGTTATAGTTATCCTCAGCGTTGATTGTGTGAATAGTCCTTTATGTTTTGGAACACCTTGAGGGTCAGTAAATAAGGCATATTTTCGTTAAAACATACAAACAGACAAAGTTTAAAATGTTTCTCAGGAACCGGTCAAAACGTGACCAACAACCACAATGGGTTTGTATATATTAACATGAAGAAAAAGCATGAGGATCAGGAATTTTTCTTGGCTGTTTGCATGCAAATGTTTCAGTTCTTGCATACTGTACACACACACACACACACATGCACACGTCCCTTTCACCTTCTCTCTCTATCCCTTTCTCCTCCACAAACACACAATCATTCTTTATTACTCAAGACCAGGTGGCAAACTGCTCTAGGCCCAAAAACATTTCAGCTCATTACTAACAAAAACAAACACTTCCTCCTCTGCGGCCTTCTCTTAAAACTTCTGTTTTCATAATCATTTATTTTTGCTAGAAATGGGACCTCGTGGGCTCTGCGATTCATCAAACGTCCCTGCATAAACATCAAGCTGCCAATAGAGGGCACCTGTGTATATTTGATGACCTAATTGTGCAAACTTTCCTGGAAAAACAAAACAAAAAATCCTTGATGTGCCTCAAAGACAGACCCCTGGGTTGTACTTTAAAGGAATAGTTCACTCAAAAGCAAAAAGTTATGTCATAATTTACTCACTTTACATTCGTTTCAAACCTGCTTGAGTTTCTTTCTTCGGTCGAACACAGATGAAGGTATTGGGAAAAAGTTGTACACCTGTATCCATTGGCTTCCATAATATTTGTTTCCTATATTACTGTATGCATTTAAATTTCTACTGGTTTCCAACATTCTTCAAAATATCTTCTTTTTGGTTAAGCAGAAAAAAACAAACTTTAGATCCTTAGGTTTAGAATTACTTAATGTGAACAAGTGATGAGTTTGTTATTAATAAATAAGTTTTATTGAAGACATGGATTCACATTTTACATGCTTTGTCCTTATTATATATGAAAAGAATGCCATAAAATCACCTATAGCACAAACCATCTCTTACAAGACCTGTTTACAGAAACGTGTTTAAACCCTGTATTATGATGGACATAATACATATACAAATTATTCATTAGGGTTTTCATCAAAGTAACAGATAAAAAGATGCCAGATTTTGTCAAATTGCTCAAGATTTTCCTTATAACCTAATACACTCCCAATGTAAAGCAGAAGTCAACATGCCATAGTTTACATTGGAGCTTCCTTTGTCTTTCAAAGCAATAGTAATATCTTTTTGGCTGTAGTTACGCTGTAGTTACACTGGAGCAGTTTGTGTTGTTTAAGTTTTTTTATGTTGCAAAAGTGTGCATTAATAACTCGAATATCTTCTGAAGTAATGTACTTAGCTGGCTTCTCTTTCAAAGCTGACGCTATTTTTTCACGGAGTCGCTGGCTTCTTCTTTTTTTCTGTCATTCGAATGCCATTTCATAAAGCTCTTAACATGACCCTATAACATCTGTCTTTACTTGACAAATCACATGACTTCATTGGGTAAACTACTTGCTGTCTTGAATGGTATGTGTTGCTTTTTACCGCAATAGCCTCTTATCGGCGGTCAAACAATGTAAATGGATTCTTAACTTGTGAATACAGTATAATTCTTGTCCAAATGTTCACCCAGACTGATGTTCATAACCCTAATCGCAGATCTGAGTGTAACTTTCAGCACTTTGTCATTGACTGTAGACTTTTCATGCTCCATTGGCAATATTGAGACTATGTAACCCAATTTTAGTCTTCCTTAAAGGGACAGTACAATGATAAACACACAATTTATTGACTTGTACAATGTGTCATTACTAACTTATAAATGCAACCCTTTCTATCTGATGTGGAAC